GGGCCGGGCGCTGCGGGGCCGGGCGGTGGGGCCAGGCCGCCGGGCCGTCAGCACCAGCTGGTGCCCGGTGGGCGCCGCCTTCGATGCGAAGCAGCAGCAGCAGCCGCGGGGCAGCGCGGCGGGCAGGGAGACGGTGAGCGGCGGGAGGGGAAGGGCCTGCTGCGGGCAGGAGGCGGCCCTGGCCGCCGGCAGCCCTGCGCCGTGCTATTCCCGTGTGTAATTTATGATTTTAAAACTTCTGAGTCGCGGTGGCGGGGGACAGGCAGGGCTGTTTTCAGAGGATTATGAGGTTACATCGTTCTAAGGGGTCGTTTTGGTTCTAATGAAGAATTCATTGTGTTTTCTGGACACAAGAGTTTAAAAATCACAGGCTTGTTTATTGCAACAATTGCTTAGAGCCTCAGTGGAGATCATATGTGTGTGTATATGCATTACCCCTTCCACTTACAGCTCTTACCTGGCTGTGTCTTTATTTTAATCTGTCAGTGTCATAGAATCACAGGATAGTTTGGGTTGGACAGGCCTGAAAAGCTCAGCGAGTCCAACCCCCTGCAGTGAGCAGGGACATCTTCAAACAGATCAGGTTGCTCAGAGCCCCGGCCAACCTGACCTTGGCTGTGCCAGTGTTTCGCCACCTTCATTGTAAAAAAATTCTTATTTCTAGACTAAATCTACCGTCATTTTAATTTAAAACCATTACCACTTGTCCTATCACAACAGGCCCAACTGAAAGGTTTGTCCCCATCTTTCCTGTAGGCCCCCTAAAGTACTGAAAGGCCTCAGTAAGGTTTCTTTGGAGCGTTCTCTTCTCCAGGCTGAACAAGCCCAACTCACTCAGCCTGTCCTCACAGCAGAAGTGCTCCATCCCTCTGATCATCTCTGTGGCCCTCCCCTGGACCCGCTCCAACAGGTCCATGTCTTTCCTATGCTGAGGGCTCCAGAGCTGGACACGCTTTGGCAGTGTTTCAAAATCGGTTAGACTGCTGACATCCTCTTGCATGGATATCATTCTTGACATTCGGTTACGTGTGGCAAAAAAGTATTTATTTTCTGTGTTGGTGACACTCAGGCTTTTTGATTTATTTCTTTTTGAGGTGAGTCAGGTAGTTTTGTCAACAAGAGTCATGGGATTTTAAACAAAGTTCCTGGACTGCGTAAAGTGTGCACTTTCAATGGCACATTGCATGCAGATGTGCAGAGCACTTAACGCTTGTAAAATCCAGGAGGTAGTCTGCCCGCTCAGCACTTCCTGCCATGGTGCCCAGGCTGGTGAACCTGTTCAACTAGAGAGTTAAGGGATTCAGTGAGGAGAAATCTGACCTTTGTTTATAATCCAGCACTTGCTCCAGGGAATAATCCAGTTAAATATTGTACATTTGCTGGTCTAGGGAATGATTTCTGGGTTCGCTTGGCCCACAGGGAAGTTGTAAAGTTCTTTGGGAATACAGATGTGTATTTTAGGCTTGCAAAGAGGCTGTGACAGGTAGGGTGTAAATGCTGAGGCCAAGCAAAGAGACTAGTGCTGCAGCCATGCAGCCACACCATTAAAGAATAGAGATCTGCACTGGGCTTCCTTTTTTTTTGAAATTTTTAAATTTTATGTCGAACTTGGTGTCATATGGAAGAGGAGCTCCATGGCTAATTTTTAAGAGGAGATACTTCCTGTTCACAGAGGACTACCCATGCAGGAGAAGCTCATTCTGGAGGGTGTATGGTGATGTAGCCCAGCAGGAAGGCCAGGAGCTCTCTGGGACATTGCAGAACACTGCGTCAGCTGGCTGAGGATTTGAGTGAAGGGGCAGCCTTGAACAGCAAGCATTTTTGAAGGATGTTGTGGTACATGTATATTTATGTTTGTGTCCATGTATTTATATACACAGATATATTTATAAATATCTTTTTCAGTGTTCATTTCAGTCCAGTTCCTGTCCCCAAATAATAATTTAGAACATGGGAAGTGTGAGGAAAGGGTTTCTGTCTTAGGGTGGCCAGCTTATAGTAACAGCATTAGGAAAAAAAAAACAGTTTTAGCAACAGTGACAGAAAGAAAATAGGAAAAAGCAACTCAGAATGTCCCAGTTACTTTAGGTGATGCTTTTGCTTCAGAGTAATATTTTATAGACAAGCTGTCAATTTTCAGCTTTTCATTTTACTTGGATAAATACTTGTGAGCTATATGCAAATCTGCAACTGACTGCTGTAACACCAAGGGTGCAGAAGGTGCATTGTAAAGTGACTGGCCTGCAGATTTTCAAATCCAGATTGTGGTTTTTAGATGCTGTGTTAAATTTGGGAAGGGATGGATGTTGTGTGAAATCATGTACTTTGTTCTATTAGATGCTGTAGTTGGGAGGTAAGGAGTTGCTCAAGTTGCAGGTGGGTGGTTGCAAAGGCAACGTATTGCTTGCAGAAATACTGTTTTATCTTAAATGAATTTTTTTTATGGTTGTAGGTCTGTATTGTATAGCAGGTAGTGTGAGCAATTTTGTTTGATCTGCAGTAAGACCTCTTTAACTCTCTTCCACAAATGCAGAACGTAACTGCTG